GTGAAGGAGGTGAAAGACGAGAGCGTGGACACACCGTCGCCGCTATCACAGACCTTGCTCTATGAAAAATCCATAGCCATCCATTAGCTGCCTGCAGAGGGTGGTGCTCCCCGCAAATCTACATTCTACATGTGTAGAGTTCAGCTTCCTCCTTTTGGCAGTAAAGAGTCCTTGGAGCAAATATGGCCGCTGGAATCTTACGGCTATACCGGTAGTTTTGGGTACCGGTTCAGCTATGACACTAAGGAGCTGTGTCTAATCCATGATGTGGCTGAGGACAAACCTCTCAAGCCATATTTATCACATTCAGCGGTTCTCTCCTACAACGACTGGGCAGTGCTCAACCTCGCAGTTCCACACAGGGTGTAAAAAGATGATCGTGAGAGACCTCGTCCGGCTGTAAAATGCAACAGGCCGCCAGCTCTTCCATCACTGGATGAAATCCAGAACGCCGTGATAGCTTTCAGCGCTTCATGGGAGGGGCTGGAGGATGCGGATGGGCAGTGGATTTTCAAGGCCTCGGTCCTTGAGAGAGATCGGAGCTCTTTTTTGTGCTGGAAAATGTGCATGCTGAATGCAGTATTTACTGCCTTTTACAGGTTGTATCTTTTGAGGCCTGGTGTGAGAAGGAGAGGAGTTTGGCAAGCTAGAATTTGATCTAAAATCTCATTATTTGAACCATCGTCACTCGGATCTGAAAGTCCACTCAAATCAAACCAATCCGGCGTATGACTCATGATACAAAGAGAAAAAAATAAAAAATACCTTCTATAAACTTGATGAATGAAAAAAAAATCCTTGGTCCTCTTCTCTCTCTTAATCCTCACAGACACAGAACATTGCCCACAATGTTCACAAGCCCGTACGTGATCTGCAGGAGCATGTAGGCCATTTTCATTCTGTTAGTCCTTTGCAGCCGAGTCAGCCGTTGCTTCCTCTGACATATTTCTGGATGGAGAAATAGAGAAAGTATGAATTAATCATCATCTTTTAATAAAAACTTTATTAAACACTTTATTCTGATTACTCACTAGGCCTCTGTGTAGCAGCAGCAGGAGGGCGCGGAGCAGAGTCTTTGTCGCTGCTCACCGGTGGCTGTTCTGGCTGTGACGCCCTCCAACGTATTTCTGGATGGAGAAATAGAGAGAGAAAGTATGAATGAATCATCATCTTTTAATAAAAACTTTATTAAACCCATTATTCAGATTACTCACTAGGCCTCTGTGTCATGAGCCAGGGTGAGTACTCTGCCCATCATTCACCATCTTTGAGTTTTGCCTGCAGGAGAGGGAGCGCAGCTGATCCTCATCAGCCTGATCAGCGGGGCGGCTTTAAAAGGAGGACGGTTATCCTGACTCGACGCCGGATGATTAACTACTGACTGGTAGTCTCTAGCCCTTCGTAACTTTTGAACCTTGTCTTTGACTTTGTAAGATTTTTTGAACTCGTTTTTAACTTGAACTTGTTTCTTGGATACTTATCCTCAGGCTTGCTTCACCTCTGGATCCTCTCCCATCTTGGAGAGAAAGGATTATTCACCGGTTCGCTGCCTGGATTCCTAACTTCGCTCTGCCGTCCCGCTCTCCACCATGATCATGCTCTATCTCCGTTTCCTCATAATCATCATCTTCTTCCATTCCACTCTCCCACTTGGACTAAGACAATTCTCCTCTGGATATTACCAGGGCTCATCTCTCCTCCACATTCATCCTGAACTTCCGCATCGTAAGTCCTGCCTACAAACATTCACTCTGAACTACAATTCCCAGTACTCACCTCTGGTTTCCTCTAGTTGCCGCTTCCTGTTTTCACCTTCCGATGGATCGCCAGTGCACCCTCAGTTCTCCTCATCATTTAATAAAAATCATTGTTTTACCTTTCCGAGTCTGATTCTGTATGTCTTGGGTTAGACACTTACCCCAAAACATGACACTCTGTGCATCAGTGACAGGAGGTTGCGGAGCAGAGTCTTCGTCGCTGCTCACCGGTGGCTGTTCTGGCTGTGACGCCAACCCCTCATCACAGCCGTGTTGAGGTGTGAGTGGGATAAAGTCCTGACTTTTGGCGTATTGCTGCGAGGGGCGTTCTTGATCGTCTATGTTCCCTTCCTGTCCTTCCGAAGAAATAAGATCTTTCTCAGCTGAAAGGGATATATCTCGTTATTAAATTATGGATAAAAATCACTTACTGAGTTTGTTCAAAGCTCTGTCGAGTTGGCTAAATGCATCTTGCTGGGCTGGGGGTATCTCACTTTCTAATTGAGAAAGAGGAATTTTGCCATCCCAATGCTGGTCACCCTCATTCGACTACAAGACAATTGCGGCTAAAAATAGACGTGAAGTCAGTAGATTGATAAAACATTGGAAAGTGGAGTTTGAGTAAATTCTACCACTTACCTGACATCACGGTGTGTTTCTGAGAACGAGATCCGAGACGGTTTTTCCCATTACAGTTATGCGGTCTTTTAAAAAAAATTGAATGGAAACGATGCGACTGGTCGAGGGTGATGTTTAAAACACTTTATAAAATATCACAATGGAATCTAATACTATTGTCCATGTCTGTCTGTGTGCACGTGATGTTAGCATTCAAGGTTTCTGTTGTCATTGTGTGTGTGTGTGTGTGTGTGTGTGTGTGTGTGTGAATTAGTCTATTTCCTTTGGCTCTTCTTCAAAGCCCATACGTGACTTTACCACGACCCTAAATGCGCCTTGATCGTCCCGCATATAACGGATTATTGGCTGTTTCCCTGTAATTTGCTCCTTAAAGTGTTTATGAAAAATCTGTTATGTTGATAAGTCTTTCTCATCATAACGTAATTCAAAGTGATGCCTTCATTTCCATGCGAAGCCAACCTAAATGGAATGTGCTTGGTTGATGTGCAGGGCATTGCTCCGCCTTGATGGTAAATGGCCTGTATTTGATATAACGCTTTCTAGAGTCCTGTTACCCCCCAAGGTGCTTTACAACATAATCAGTCATTCACCAACTCACAAACATTCACACTCTGATGATGATGGTTCCTCCTGCTCCTCTTCTTCTAAATTATTTTTTCTTCTGCTTGACTGGGCCTTCCCACCACACGCTTAAATGTCTTGTAATGTCCGTGAAACATAGTGTGTGGCAAGTAGTCACAGTTATATTTGATTAGTGCATTTCTGCTGGCCATAAAGTGTCCACCTTGTCTGTCTTGGATTCTGGCATATTGATGAGGGGATCTGAATCACTTGGAGTTGGATTATGACTCCCTCACGTTGCAGTATATTGTTTCATTAGCTATCAAACACTGTGCAAAATCACAAATATATAGATGTAGAGGGTTAAGTTTCTTTTCTTTACTATCATCAGAAAATTTTCTAAATGAAAACCATGTCAGGAATTTCTGGAATCTCTGAAGGAGGATGATTATCTAAAAGAAAAGATGACAGGTGACATAATTTGTATAAAAAGGTTTCTTCTAGGAACACTAGAGCCCCCTTGTGACATGTTGGAAAATGGCCACAAGTAATGCATAGCCTTTAGATAAATAATTAGCTGTAATCCTTAACGTGTGTCTTTAAAACACTGTTCCAGTCTGTTTTCTGTACTGTATTCACATAGCTAAACTTTGTTAGGACCACTTAAGTGTTATGAGTCAACATGAAAGACAGACTTGATTAAAGACTTCTTTTTTACTGGTTCTAAAATCTAACTGCATATTTTGAATGATTAAATCCCAATCAGGTATAAACAACTGAACTTTAGCTCAGATCTCAGGATTCTGTGTCATGTGACATGTTTAAACACAAATTAATTTATTTATTTTGCAGAACCATTAGAATCCATGTTGAGAAGTAAATAGGGAATACATATTTATAACTACTAATGCTATCAGCCTGGAACTACTTAGTGAACAGATGTTTTAAACTGCTGTAAAACCCTTGGTTGAGAGAAGGTAAAAAATGCACATTGTTTCAAAGTTTTTTTTTGCTTTTGGCTGAAAAAGAAATACTTAATACCATTTAAAATGGAGGCTCCTTTGTGATAATTGATCCATTTATGCAATATTTTACATTGATTCATTTGTGAACAATCCCAAAATGACCAATTAGTGATTGGGTCTATATAATCTATTGCTGATGCATCAGGATGTTAAAACATAACAATATTATGATTCTGATTAAAATTACTTTCTCACTTGTATACGGGTTTCAAACTTTCAGGCTATGCAATAAAAATGTGGTGTATATGGACACACACACGCATGCACTCATACTCAAACATTTCCAAAACGTATGTTTTAATTTGTCTTTTTCTACATTGTTTAGGCAAACCAAGACAAACGATTAGAACTCCCTTCAGCATCCACCGACTGAAAGCATTCAACATTTTCCCATTAAGTCTCCATTCACAATGGATAATGACCAAGTTATGATGTAAATTAATGTAGATTGGCCTTTGCAGGGTCTTAGTGAGGTCTTCAGACATTTATTGAAAATGCAATGAGCTCTCCACTTTACATGATATAAGGGGATATGTCCTCAATGGTTGTGAAGATGCACTAAACTTCTGTGATGAGGTTTTGGCAGTTTACCATCATGGTAGAAGAGTACTGGGGTCCTTAGTTGAGTATGCGGGGTCCAGTAGACGAATTTAGATGACAGTAAGACCCACGTGCACCAGGAAGGCTTGGTTGTGCAGAAATTGAAGCAAGATTGGTCATGTTGGCTTCATGCCTGGGTCACAGTCCCATGGCATCATCAGCATTGAGCTTGGATGGGCTAATATCCTTGTAGATGTGGACCAAGAGGATTGTTCAATAGCATTTGAGATTGAAAATGAGGTATTTTTCTTGCACAAGTACAGATAACATTTTTAAAAACATCATACATTCATACATTCTATATAACTCCTTTTTGCCTCTACCGTCAACTATTTTTTCCCTATTTTCTCACCTGCTTAGGTCAGCATCAACAGCTTTCACTCTTCTCCTGACACCTTTATGTGTATTTCTCTTCTAGTGCGGACTCACTCTCCCTGGCAGCCGCTGTAACAGACTTAGCAAGGTGCTGGTGAGCTGAAGCCTGGTGAGATGTCACAGCTGTACTACAAGCGGACTGACAGCTCTTCATACCGGGACCGCATCCCGTTGAGAATCGTCCGATCGGAGTCGGAGTTATCACCTTTGGAGAAGGCTTACCTTGGAGCTGTGGAGAAGGGGGACTACGCTAGTGTCAAACAAGCTCTGGAGGTGTGTGTGAGTGTGTTCGCTGATTAGTAATGGATAAATTAATTAAGCCACTTGAAGAGTTTTAATCACAATTAACAAGAAGGATAACTAATACAAACAAGATAAAAATAATTATGGTCAAGTTCTGCAGTTGATCAATTCAATGTGGGACTCTTGTTTCCCTGGTGTCGGATCTCTATTGGAGCGTGTTTTCCTCTTTTGCCAATTTTCCATAATTGTATCACAGTTCCTGCAGGGAACAAAAAAAGTGACTCATTAGCAACATAATCCAGAGAGGGAATAAAAGGGTCAAATGTGAGGTTTTATTTAACTAAAATACCCCTGCTGCTTTGAAACAGCTGTCATCTATTTTCCTTGCATTAACTGAAAAAGATTCCGGTTCAGCTGGGTGTTCTGTGAGTTAGTCTCTCTCTTTGTGTCATAAAACCAAGAAGTAAAATATCAGAGGACTTCTTTTTATGCTGTCAGATCATAAAATTTTATATAAATTTCTTGCAGAAAATTAAAAATCTCATTTCAGCAAATATTGTCTTCCCAAATACTTTAACCCACTACCTATTTGATCTTGAGACCAAGTTTTGATCCCATGTATTTGTGTTTTTTTTTTCCTCAGGAAGCAGAAATCTATTTCAAGATCAACATCAACTGCATAGATCCCCTCGGCCGCACGGCGCTGCTCATCGCCATAGAGAACGAAAATCTGGAAATCATTGAGCTCTTGTTGAGCTTCAACGTGTACGTTGGTGATGCTCTGCTGCATGCAATACGCAAGGAAGTGGTTGGAGCCGTAGAACTGCTGCTGAATCACAAGAAGCCCAGTGGAGGAATGCAGGTATGGAGGGGTACTTTGTGGGAAAAGTTTGCAGACATTCAGAGCTTTACTCGTGTACAGTCAAGTCCATAAATACTGGGACATCGACACAATGCTAACATTTTTGGCTTTATAAGCACCACCACAATGGATATCAAATGAAACAAACAAGATGTGCTTTAGCTGCAGACTGTCAGCTTTTATTTGAGGGTATCATGAAGATGACAGTTGAGTGCCTTTCTCATAAAGCTAACAGATGGCGCAAGAGCTAATGTGAATGAGTGACTGAATGTACATTTTTTAAAGAGTTGATCAAAGCAGCTTCACCTCCTTCAATAGAAGATATTAGTCAAAAACACTTATGATTGAAAAGAGATGTTCACAGGTCCTTAAGTTTGTTGCTGTCCTATGAAGGATGTATTTTTTTTTTTTGTATGCTTCTTTTATCACACATATTGGTCAATTGAACAAATTCACTCAAAAGGGCAGTTTCCATTATTGGAACTTCGGGGTAATTTGACTGGTCCTTTGCAATATTTACGTGTCTCCATTTCACCAGGTCAGCTTGAAAGGGCCACTTTCTGGGCCATTTCATTGATTAACGGTGTACCTGAACTGGGGAATGTACTCAGAAAGGCCCAGTGATCAGTGACTTTACTCACTACAGAAAACTTTGGGACATGCTGACGTCTTCACAAAGCCCTGAAAGCCTGGACTGAGCCATCAAATTTTTATTGTCACTTTCCGTCCTACCAACAAAAACATGCTTCCATTTAGTTACTAAAGCTAAAACATCTTGTCCTGCTTTGAAGTCTAAGCTAATCCACACATTGGCCAAATTACCAAAACACTGGAGGTCTTTTGGGTCCAAATCTGTGATAAAAGTGTCATGTCAGCTAGCATGAGTACTTTTGCATAAGTAGTACAAAGTAGCCCAGACTATTCGGAATAATTGACCCAGTATTGTTGGAAAAAGCTAAAGCTAACACCCCTTCAAAAAAAAGAAAAACTCTTCATTATTCAGTTCCTCGATTTTGAAAAATAATCAGGAAGAGAAATAATAAGTATTCAGTTAAAAAAGATAACTTGTTCAGAACTACAATGCAACTTTTTAAAAATAAATGAAGTACTGATCATTTTGTTCGTCAAACCATTTTCTGGTAGCAGAAAAGAGCTGGCAGTCTGATGCTTATAATTGCTGTAATCAAATAATTGGAGAAAAACACTTTGAATTTCTATTTCTTTTATCTTTTTCCTGACACAAATGTACTAAACACACTGAAACAAAGACACACACACACACACACACTCACAGAAACATTTTTACTTTTTTGGTGTGTTCTTGCTGTGTTGAAATTCTAATTCCATCTTTTAGTTCTTTTTAAAACACAGAAAGGTTTTATTTACCTGCAACGTTTCGATTTTTGGTGTTTGAAGCAAAGCATCTGTAAGTTCAATGAGAGTGTTTACTTGGCAAAAAATAAGTAAAAATAATATACATACACTTCTTCATTTTATTCGTTATTAGGAAAAGAGTAGAAGAAGCAGATCTAGTGATATTTCTGAGGTGTTATAGGCATGGATGTGGAGGGAGCTGAATTCCAAACGCCCGGTCCAAACCCCACAGCTGTGGCATCAATCAGTTGACACATTACCTCTTTAGCTTAATGCCTTTGTAAGGAAGCATTTGTTTGTGTCACATGAGTAAGCTGTGAAAATAGATCACTCCGGTAGAGTCGAATCCCCCCCTGAGAGATACCTATTGATTAGATTAAAAAGCTGAGAAAATGCATCTTATCGCTCGCCAGCATGTTCTCTGAAAACTTATTAATAAGGATATTTGCTTTATGCTTTTGTCTGAATTGCAGAGATCCATCTTGGTGTTTTGCAAGGTGTCTGGGTGATGTGTTTTTAATGGTCTCACACACATTGTGGCTTCTTTGCGGGGATATCAGCAGTTTTAAACGGCTCCACGTGTCATCCTGTGAGTGCATCTGTCAGTAGCTCACATTCAAAAAGAGCCTGGTGGGCGTTTTTGTCTCTTTTTTAATACAGAGATAGTTATGTAACAATATTCTTTCTACATGGATGTAAATTAAGCTTGGTCATAGTTTTCTAAATTCCCGACTCAAGCTGGTTTCCGCAGTGAAAAACCAAAGCAGAGCTGCTCAATGTCCCATTTTTCTTTCAGCTTCATCTAAATATTTGTGTTGTTGTAGGATGACAAGGGAAAACCAGCAGGGAGGCTCAAAATAGAGCAGTGTGAAAACAAAAGTACCACACACACACACACACACACACACACACCAAGCTCTTGCAGATGCCACTGTTGCATGTTTAATCAATATGTGGATGGTAGATGCCTCATGAAAGTAACGAATATGCATGACACACATAAGTGGGCTACAATTTAATCTTTTTTTTTGCCCAGCAATTATCATAACTTCATATCCACCAGCTTACTCTCCTTCTGCTTCGTGCTTTGGGCACAAGCCAGAGCAGTTTTGATGCAGATTATTTGAATTTTGACCTCCTCCCACATAGAAAAGAGAAAATATATACTGCGGCTTATTAGACCACAGTTCTGTGCAGAAAGTGACACATCTCGGCAATGGCTCTGTGCCACGTAATGGAGGGGCTATTCTCTGGATAAAATATATCAGTAATTAGTGCCTACATGGCGGAATGACTTTTGGATGTGTTGAGGATGATGAAACATTTCTGAGAGAATGAATCATTCCCCAAGACAACAATACTTCATGTTTTGTCCCCTCAGCAAAGAAAGGTGACAAAGACTTTCTTTCTGATTCCATTTCTGGTGCCTCCACTACAGTATTAGACTTCACTTAAGTGAAACATTAATAAAACTCCCAGTGGAGTATGATGAGTCTGTGATCCTTTTAAAGTATTTTTGCACTTTTTAATTTTTGGATTTATTTGAAACTTAAACATATAAAGAACTTTGCAGCAGAGCTCTCAAAATTATCTCAAAAGACAGTTTTTTAAGCGAAGACATCCATCTTCTGTTGTGCAACTTCTTAAATATTACCATTCATCCATTTTCCTCCACTTATCCGGGATTGTGTAGTTGGCAGCAGCCAAAGCGGACCTCCCTCGCCCCAGCCACTTGAGCCAGCTCCTCCAGGTAAATCCCAAGGTGTTTCCTGGTCAGGCAAGAAGCATAGTCCCTCCAGCGTGTCCTGGGTCTTCCTTTAGGTCTCCTTCCAGTAGGACGTGCTCGGAAAACCTCACCAGAGGGGTGTCCAGAAGGCATCCTGACTAGAAGAAAAAAGAACAGCTACAACATAAAACAGATGGTTTTAAAGAACACAAATATAGTTGGTTGTAAAACAAAACCACAAAGTTAAGGACTGAGCACTTACAGAAGGAACACGTTAAGAAGCAATCATTCAAAGGCAGTTCAAAATATAAAAAAAAAATACATCTAAAATTTCCACTTTCCTTTTAAATGTAGAATTCAATTCAATTCAATTCGAGTTTATTTATATAGCGCCAAATCACGACAAGAGTCGTCTCAAGGCACTTCACATAAAAATTCCAATTCAGGTCAGTTCATTAAGCCAGTCAGAAATAATTTTTCCTATATAAGGAACCCAGCAAATTGCATCAAGTCACTGAATTGGGGCAGATCTGAAGTCATAAGGACATTGATTACGTGTGTAGCATAGCTATAAGCAGCTTCACCCTGTTTGGTTCTGACCCGAGGTTCTATCAGCTGACTTGTGGAGGTCTTAATGATTTTTTATGATTATTTCTGATTATAATTGGTCACTGTGAATGCAGGCTGAACATGAAATTGGTCTTGTACACCTATCTCCTGCATTAGCTTCCGATAGAAAATAGTGAAAATCTAGGATTTGAAAAGCCTGACAGTTCTACGTCACACTGTCACTTAACATTCATGGACTCACCCATCTTGACTCAGGACGGGGGAGGCTGTTGTTGTTTTAATGTTCAGGAATCAGCAGACAACGTCCCAACTAGCAGAAGCTAATCATTAGCACCACCACACAGAAAGACTCCTCTGGGCTTGTGTTGTTTGTGGAGATTAAACATCCACGTTGCAAATCAGTGGTAGAGTCGCATTGCCGTCATTCAATATGAGGCGAGATGTCCAAATATCGGGAAACAAGACTCCAAAACCTGCCACCTGAAGCTCAGCTATGATGTGGCTCACTTCTAGTTCCTAAAAACTTTTCACCAGTGTTTTTTGCCCCCGAGAACATCTTACAAGGCATTCTTTCCTACTAGAGACCACGGCAGATGTATTGAGTATTCAACACCTTTAAAAATGTTAGAAATAAGCTCGTATAATCTCCGGATCAGCTGTGAGATATAATTTCTGCAGCTAGTACGAGTTTTTCTGGTAGCATCTGTCTGAAACATCTTCCCTGGAAAACTGCAGCATCCTAGCAAACATCTGAATCACCTCCAGTAAAGCGGCGCCACACTCCTCTTTAAATTGCCACTTTATCATGGTGGGTGAATGTGAGTGTCCCAAGAACCCCAGAAACCATGTAGGGTCCTCCTTTCTAAATTGGCTCTGAGTGAGTGTGAAGTCAGACTGGACCCTTTAGGTCTATTTCTTAAGATAAGTTGTGCACTGGTGTGTTATTAAGGGGCTGCATTCCATTCAGAGAAAGTTCTGCTCATCATCAGTTTTAAAGAACAGAAATGTTCAGCTGCAGACTGTTTCAGAAACCCTTGTGATGATTTTAAACTAAAGGACCACGAGACCTTTCCAAGAACTATAGTGTCCGATTTTAGGTTCCTCCTCATGAATCTCTGGATCTCATCCACTAGTTTTTTTATTCCCGGGGAAAAGAAGAACCAGATACCATAACATGGTTCCAAATATACTCCCAACATCACCAGGATTCGGTAGTTTCAGTTTACTTGATTACCCGAATTGGCTTCACTGAAGGGCTGGAATGACCAGTTACAGACTGAAGGCAGAGGGGAAAATTATCTCTGCCTGACCCAAACACAGTCTTGTTATC